AACGTTGCACGTCCGTCACAACGAAGTCCAGACGAGAAATTCCCGTTAAATTACCTGCTGCAACGTACGACGAAAATGGCCAATGCTGCGATTGACTCGTTACTTGAACAAAACTGCTCTGATTGGTCATTATCGAGGCTGCCAATCAGAGCAAACGGATTTGTGAAAATGGAACGAAATATTATTCCCATCATTAATCCTTATTAATTAGGTAATAGTTACCGAGCCTGGGTAACATTGACCTAACCCTCATATCAGCGTACTAATTTCAGGATTGATATTGATTAATAATTTGAATGACATTTTCCAGACTTTCAGGATCCTTACGCCGTCGTAGTGTTACTCCAAAACGACTTGGTTGTGATTGACCTATTAACTCCGGGATTCCCCTGCTTCGAGAATCCATACCCGATGGATATACACGAATCTCCAGTTACCTGCTGTTCATACTTCGCTGATTGCCCATCCGATCTAGTTCCAGCATTTTACTCAGTTGGTTCAAAGTCCCAGAAAAAAACAGGATTCAGTGAAAGAGAATGGCCAGTTTCCGGTGGCGAATGGAGTTCTAATTCTAGTAGCTACAATGAAATTATTCTCACTGGGTAAGCTACTGCATTAATCATTATTTATTTTCATCAATATCCGCACGTACTATCTGTCGAACGTAATTTTGATTCGACTGTTACCTTGTTAGCCTAAAATATTACCAAGGTCGGGATTCAAATTGTGGTGTAACAAATTTCCTTGGCTAATTAATTGCGTATCGACGGAATAACTGTTGAAAATAAAATCCAATTGTTACACGGAATCTCGCGAAAGAAGAAAAATAATCTTTTTAGTACTTCATTTTTACGATTCTACTTTGTACAAATATGAAGGGTCTGTTTGCTAAGAATGCAAGTGTGCAAAATAGCGGAAGAAAAGAGAGCGAATTTGGGACCTGTAAAATGTTAAGGGTCATGGCAAATGTTTGTTCTATTCTAGTCACGCCGACGGAAGCATAAAATTCTGGGACGCTTCAGCTGGTTCACTGCAACTACTTTACAAATTGAAAACAGCTAAACTATTCGAAAAGAGTAAAGCCAAGAGTTTGGATAATGAAGAAGATCCACTGGCGATTCAATTAATGCACTTGTGTCCAGAGAGTCGTAAGCTAGCGATAGCTGGAGCTGGACGACACGTTGTCCTATTTAAATTTAAGAAGGCTGAGAGCATGTCAGAAGTAGTGGTAAGTCACTCGGAAACTCAATAATTTTTCCATTCAAGTAAACAGTAAATTAAAAATCATTCAATTACACTGGCGTCAAATGGGAGACGAACACATGCCTAGAGACACGACTTTTACCTTCCATTTTTGGGCTTTGGATTTCTTCATTTGGGACTTGACACCCTGAAAAAAATGTAGAACTTAAATTTGATCTAAATACCACTGAGAAATCTTCATTTTTCATTTCCCAATTTTTTTTCTTGGCACTTGTGGTCCGTGCTACCTTGATCTCTTTCCACATTTTACAATCTCTTCTTTTCTTTGTGCAGACATTGGAAATATCGCTCACATCCGATGGAAAAGATACGGAGGGCTCACCTGATCCCGATTTGGATCCATGCCAAATACCAGGTGTGGAGGAGTCAAGAGCTGCCGAGGCCGCCATGTCGTTAAAAGTCAAGGGAGGCCTGCAAAAGAGAGCCCCTGGATTTCAAGCGACCCTCATTTGTTTAACGTCAAATGCCGGCGGTGAACAAACTGAGAATATTACATCACTCAGCCTCAACTCTTCTTATGGCCTGTAAGAAATTTTTCATCACTTTAAACTGTCCGCATTTCTTTGTTCATCTGTCATCGGTGCATTTATCTAACTTTCAACTGACATTTGACATTTGAACTCACCGTCAAACTCTCTTTAGTTAGACTACCAACAATTCACGGAATTTCTGACACTTTCAGGCCGTAAAGCCCACTACTTTCCTATTCTAAAAGGGATACGCTTGACA